CGCGCCGTGGCCTGTTCGGAGGAGGGCCGGGGCGTGGCCTCGAGCGGGTTACCGGCGCCCTGACGCGCACACAAGGACGCGCGCACGCAAGAATGAGCTCCGGCGGCGCCCGCCGCTCGGTGCGCATGCGCCGACTGCCTACTGGCCGCCCCGCGCGGCCTCGTAACTGCGTAAGGGGCGTGGCCTCACGGTCGGTGAGCGCGGGGCGGGGCCTGGGGAGGAGCTGGCACTCCTGCCGCCCGCGCTGCTGGGCCCGGTCCCCGCCCGCCGGTCCCCGCCCGCCGGAGTCTGTACCCCGAGTCTGTCCAGGCCGCGTTTGGCCGAGGCGACCGCACGCGGCTGACCTCCATCCCTGCGGCTGCCCGCTGGGCGGTGGCGTCACTGCCGCCCTGCGAGGAGCGCTGAGCCAGGCGCAGACGTGTGCTCTTGCCTGGAATTAATCACTCCGCACTGCCGCGCTACCGGGAACCCGTGCCCCCACATACTGTTTATTTTTGTATAGTTATTTATTGGGACCAGCAGATGTGTAGCGGCTATGTCGCTCGATTCCCACTAGCCAAACGCAGCTCGATTTGAACAGGTGGTTTCAAAATCACGCCAGGCCCTGAGCACGGGTGCCCAAGATCCAGGGCAAATGCAGGATTGTGGCCTGGCCGTGCCCCCGGGGGTGACTTCCCACTTTGTCTCTCCCCAGGAGTATGCCTGCCCTATAGCAAAAGTCCCTCAGTAAAGAAAAAGGTTACTTATTTAACTTTGTTATGATTTTCTTAATTTGACCAGAGAGGGATAGAAAGCAGGCTGCCAGGTCCAGGACTTGAACAGTGGGCAACCATTTGGGAGTCCAGCGCCTTAACCACCAGGGCCCCTGTTGGCCATTTAGTACATTATTGTAGTAGGGGCGTGGTCCCCGGGAGAGCGATGTCTGCGCAGGCCCCTGGAGGGGGCGGCCGCACTGCAATCCCAGGAGTTGGGACACAGCCCGCTCAGGGAGGGGAGTAGCGGGCCTACTATGCTTCCTGAGGGCCTCGCCAAGCAGTGGTGCCAGCAGGCCTGCATACCCTGGGGCTCCAGGCCTTGCCAATGGGAGTCCTCCAGCCTGAGCCAAGCGAGGTCTGACCGGGAGGTCTCCGGAGACTGGGTGTTGCAGCGGCTGTGCAGGCTCTGCACTGGGAGAGAGAGCCCACGGAGCTACACCGGGAAGCAGGAAACGGGCAGGTGCGGTTACCGGCAATGTCTTGTACTTAACCAGTACATGGAAGGTATCATTTCCAACTGCCTTTGTGACCTGGTGGTTAGGAAGCTGGATCCCACACTGCTGACCGCACAGCTGGGAGTCCCAGAAACACCCCAGGCACGTGTGTGTGCCCAAAACCCCCAGGGAGGGGGAGACGGAGAAGAGCCTGTGAGGGGGGGACTAAACCCTTCGGTGCTTTCTCTGCTCCGTCTCTGGTGAGCACAGGCACTCTCAACCACAAGAAAAGCACTGTATAAAGCATTTCCTCTGAAGCGTTTCAGAGAGAAGTGCTAGTGACAGGCTGGGGTGCTCGTCTGTAGAGTCCATAGCAGAGGCCAGCTGCAGAGGGGCCGGGCCGAGTCAGAGCACTGGGAGCTCGGGACCCCAGAGCATGGCAGATGCCCGTCACTGTCCCAGGTCACACAGCGCAGGCCAGTCTCCCCGAGCCCTCCTTCCCTGCAGCTGCGGGCATCCCGCGCCCAGCCTGAGCCCCACGTCTTCTCACTCTGCTGCAGCGATCTCCTCACACCCACGGTGGAGACTGCCCCTCCACACCAGTGACTTGCACACCCAGACTATGTGCCCTATAGCAAAATAAGGTATAAGAGTAAATAAAATCTTCAAAACTACCGTTTCTATGGTGTGTCTGTGAGTAGTACCTGGGGGGTGGGGGGATGGGGACTGTTTTAAAAACTTTCATTTATTTCATTGCCAAAGGGCATGTGTGCTTGCCAGAGAGAATGCGCCCCCAGCAGGATGGGCTGTGGCCACCCAATCTCATCCACCTTCTCCACCTTGGGATCTGGGGCACACATGCACACACACACACAGCATGTTTGTCAAGCCACCGGGGAATGAGAACCATGACTGGCCACGTGGGAGTGAACTCCCGAACCACAGTGCTCCGGGCCAGCTGGAACAGGTGTTTTGCTCAGGGTCTGCTGTGTTGCAGTCGTGCCTCAGCCTTCACTGCAGCCAGGAAGCTAAAGCCAGGCCCCCAGGCAGCCTCAGCCTGCCCTGCAGCAGCGCCCAGCACGTGATCCTAGGCTGACCCCTCTTACCCTTGAGCCCCTGGATTGCTGTTACTGTCATTTTTCTTTATTTCAATTCTGTAATCGGGTGAAACATTCTTCTCATATTTTTAATTCTTTAGACAGAGTGGTCTCTATTTCTTTGAATATACTATAGCAGCTGATAAGTGTGTTTTCTTTTAAGTGTGCTCTTTAAAACTATTTATTTATTTATTTATTTAAATTTGACCAGAGAGAGAGAGAGAAAGGGAGAAAGCAAGCCACCTGGTCCGGAACTCGAAATGCAGTCAGCCACGTGGGAGTCCAGTGCCCTAACCACCATGGCACCTGCCAGTCCGAGTTTGTTTTTTTTTTTGTTTCCTACAGGGTGCATGTACTTGCGGGGGTAAGGGAGAAGAGGGTGAGAGAGAAAGAGAGAAATCACCCCCAAGGGATGGCTACGCTGCAGTCCCTTCTCCTCCATTCTCCTCTCAGGTTTTGGGCACACACACAGACACACCCAGCATGTTTTTCAAGCTACCAGGTCCAGGACTGACTTTTGGGTCGTTGGCAAAGTCATGATTCATCTTTGCGCAGAATATGCCATGACCTTTTGACAACCCAGTAGTTGACCACCTGGGCTCCAGCCATCCAGCCACCTTATCCTCCATGACACCAGTTGGCCAGTCAGAGATGATTTCACACATAACTGAAGACCTCTTGTATTTTCCCAATGTGTTCAAATGCTCAGACAGCCTGAGCAGCATCCGTTTCATGACGTTGTAATACTCAGGTTATAACGTCTATTTCAGGGGTCAGCTTGTGACCTGGTGGTGAAGGCAGCTGGATAGCACATGGCAGACTGTATGGTTCAAATCTCAGGCCTGGCACCTAGAAAAATACAACGTGGGGACCAGCGGATGACCTCATGGTTACACTGCCAGACTCCCACATAGTTAACTGCAGGCCAAGTAGCAGACTCAGCGGCTTAAAACTCACACTGGGTACATGTGTGCATGTCCAAAATCCCAAGAGGAGAACAGAGAAGGGATTGTGGCGTGGCCATCCCCCTGGGGGGTGATTTCTCACTTTCTGTCTCTGTCTCTCTGTCTTTCTGACAAGCGCACATGCCCTATAGCAAAAACCTCTAAAAAAAAAAACCCAAATGATGGGTGCCATGTTCATAGGTGCCCAGAACCCCGAGGACGGCGGGATGGAGAGGGGATTGTGGCGGTGTGACCAAACTCCATAGGAGATGTCGGTCTCTCCAGCAAGCACAGGCACCTGCTGGTAAGTTAGAAACAGAATTTCAGGGCCAGCAGGTGCCACAGAGGTTAAGGTGTTGGACTCCCACGTGGCTAGTGGCAGTCAAAGTCCTGGAACCGGTGGCTTGAAAATCAGACTGGGCACATGTGTGAGCATGCCTAAACTCCTGAAAGAGAACGGGGGAGGAGGGCCTGCGGTGTGCTCATCCACGCTAGGGGTGACCTCTCACTTTCCCTGTCTCTGACGAGCACACGTGCTCAATGGCAAAAGCCAAACAAAATCAACTTCACGTCTCTTTCCTAAAGGAGGTGACTAGGCCCCTGGGGGAGAGCACTTCGTTCCCTCTCTTCCCGACCCCGTGTACACATGCATGTCCCTCTGGTATAAGAACAGGGTAAATAATAACAAGGCCTACTCTTCCTATCATGCTTACTATTCAGAAGAGCTCTTTTCAAAACTCATTCTAATCCACTAGGCAGGGGCAGTAAGGTAAGGAGGGAACAAGGGGGCAACACTGTGATCTGGTGTTGCTCTGGAATGCAGTAACTCTCAAATACCAGATACCAACAGCACACTCCACCTGCTCTTGAACTACGTGGTCCCACACTAAAAGCGTAATTCTAAAATGCAAAGAAAAAACACATCGCAAGTGAGCTAAGAAAGGCTTTATTGAATAAATACATGCACTGTCATGTAAAACTAGTCGAGCAGAAAGGACATTCTGTGACTTCAGAACCCCCCACCCCGTCCTGCAGCGCAGGGGGGCTGGCTAGGCCTGGGAAGCAGCACCCCAAAACAGATGCACAGCCTCTCAGGCTGGCTGGCGCTCGGCCTCGGTTCTGGAAAGGAAGGGCTGCTCACTTGATAGAGAGCATCTGTAAACAGCTCTCATGGGACAGAATGCAGGCTGGGAGCTATGGCCAGAGGCAGCTCCTGCCGACTCCCTCACATGGTAAGGCACCGGGGTGCACGGCCCGCACACGCCAGCGGGCTGCTTCAGATGCACCTGCGTTCACGTCTCCTCCTTTGGTTTGGCTTGAAGTAAAAAAAGTTGAGGTTCCCTTTCCCGAGATCAGTCAAAACTATGGATGCACATTTGGGGACGACTCTGTAATCCTTCTGGGGTTCTGGAGTGCTGAGTGTGGCCTCGATGGTAACACTAGCCCTGCCCATGGGATGTGGGCAGAGCCACACCTGCAGAGGTTGCAGTGCCCAGAGCTGCCCCCTCCTTCTTCCCTTCCACAACGTACAGAGGCGGCTACGAGTGGCCTCAGCGGTCCTTGTCACCTAGCCCCTGGGGACGGCTCTCCTCTCCTGAAGTCACGGCAGAGAGCATGGCACTGCGTGCTCAGCTGGCTTCCTCTGTGCGCTGATCCTTGAACACCGTCTACTCTGCTCGGAGGCCCGGATAAGCAGCACACCCAGTCAGGCCAGACCCAGGCTCGGCAGAGCGTCCGCGTGCGGGCCCAGCGCCTGGTCAAGGTGCTGTGAATCAGAGCTGCTTCTCTCAGGTGACAAAGAAGCCTTCCAAAGCCCAGGACTGTCAGCAACGGTCAAAGTCACCTGGTGCACAGGCTGGTGACGGTGCAACACTGCAGCTCACGCTGTGCCCGCATACCCACGTGTGTCAATGCAGGTACATGCTCCCTCCCAGAGCAACCGACTGTGCATGGCAACTTTGGACACGGTCGCCAATGGCCGGTGGGGTGAAGAGAGGCGCAGGCTGCACGAATGCATGGAGGCCAGGCACCCCAGACCAACGCGCCACGGCTCCAAGTGTCGGGTGGGAGTTAGGACAGGGTGGGACCTGCAGGGGAAGGGTGGTAGAGAGGCACCAGCTCCTGCCACAGGCACTTTAGTCTGGCTGATCACAGAAGTTGTCACGAGCTGCCCGGTGCCAGAACAGATGAGAGCTCCCCTCTCGGCCACGTGGCTGCATGTGCCCCAGTTTCCAAATGTCCTCAGGGCTATGGAGCCCTTTCCCCACACAGCTCATAGCACACACTTAGAATCTCTGCACACACACATCCTGTGTCAGAGACACGCAGCCCACAGCACCCCCAACAAGCCTCGCAAGAAGTTTGGGGGACTCTTACATATGAAAGACATGCTTATAATAAGCCAATGAAAAGGTTCCAGATGAAGAACTGCTACAACATCCCAGTGCTGCGATCAGGCACGGCAGGAAGTCAAGGTGCCCAGGGCAGCTGTGAGGACTGGTCCGGGTCTGGGGGCCTGGGGTGTCCAGAGGGCCAAATCGAGTTCCTGCTCCCCGACACGTCAGCGTGGGACATGCCACAGGCTCTCCTCATTAGCAGGAAAGCCACAAGCTTTCGGCTTCACCACAGCCTCCTACCACCCCTTGCTGGGCCATCTCCCAACGTGGAGGACGGCATGTGGCTCGCAGACAGGAGGGCTGGGGCCCCACGGAGCTCACTGTGGGTGCAGCGGCCTCCATGAAGGCCCACTGCTACGTTCTCGGTCTTACAGAGAGAGCAGTGTGTGCATCTGAGCACGGCCTCATGAAGCAGCTACAACAGGCAGTGAGATATAAACCGAAGATGTTTCATTCTTATACCGGAAATTTCAGATTAGTACACTATGACTTACGAAGAATAATAATTCTCTTAATATTTTATATTACTCAGTTATAAAATATTTTTCTTATAAATCCTTCAACTGACTTATCAATAATCTATCTTTTAAAAAACTCTAATAATTTTGAGTCCTTTCTTTTAGCATCCATAATGGGCAGAAATATATTTAATAATCTTTTGTTTTTTTTTAAAGGAAATATCACAAAATAGGTCACTAACACTTTTTGCTGCAAAGATGAAAATGATTACTTGTCCCAAGAATTTAATAAGTTTTGAAAGAAAAAATATATTTTCCTTGATCCATTTTCTTCTGAATTCAAAGCAGCAGGTAGAGATTATAAAAAGAGAGTCTATTTACATGGCCTAGTGCACCCCAGGGGTATGCGAGCAAGGCAATAGCAGAGCATGTGCACACACCTGCTTCCAGGAGCGGGGACGGCAGAGCCACGGAACACAGTGACGAGCTGCCACCCACCGCGCTCCAACAACTGGTAAAGCCGGGAGGAGACTCAACATACAAAACTGAAAGGTAATATTGGCCAAATAGGCCCCAAATGCCAAAGGCTATATAAATCCTACAAAGGTACATACAACTGATACATGAAATTAAAACATTGGTGTGTGTAGGGGATGTGTTCCAAGCTGAGGTGAGGAGGTGCCCCGAGGAGGCCTCAGGTCCCTCGTGTCCAGCGCGGCTATGTCCCCACCTGTGGCCTCGTCCCGTCCTCCGTGAGGTCATACCTGGGGAACCATAGGAAGATGTGGGAAAGTGTTGTCAGGTGCACGTCAGGGGTGTCTGTTATGGGGACACTCACCACTGGGTCCAGCCTTTGGTGAGTTCCTCAGATGTCAGAGCAACCAGTACCTGTGGGTTAAGAAGAACGTGATTTGTGAGACCTGCAGGTGGCATGATGGTGGAGGCACCGGACTCCCACATGGCCGACTGCGGTTCAAGTCCTGGACCAGGAGGCTTGCTTTCTCACTGTCCATCTCTCTGTCTGTCTCTAGAGAGAGCATGTGCCTTAGAGCAAATTAAAAAACAAGAAAGAAAGAAGGAAAACAAACAAGTTTGTCAAAGCAGGTTGAAGTAATTCCTCTTAGATCTCTGACCACAGCTTCCAATCTCCCTGTCCTCCTGTCTAAGTCCAATGATGGACATTTGGTTTTACTGCCCGTGGGTGCGTAAGGTCACCAGAGAGGTGAGAGAAAGCCTCCTTAGTGAGGCAGGGACGTGCCACAATCCCTGTGGGGTGGCCTTCTCCACACAGCGGTAACCACTGAGCCGGGGGCCAGGCCTGCCCTCCCTCTGAGGTGCTCATCTCCCCAGTCTTTCTGACTCCCGTGAGCCCCAAGTTGTACGGTGGGACCCAGGAGGCCCTCCTGCCGTGCAGCAGCCTTGCACCTGCCGTAGAACGAAGACCTGTGGGTGAGAGCGTAGGACGTGCTGGCAGGCGCGAACCAGTGGCTGATGGAGGCTAATGACTTATTAGAGAAAGGGCAGTGAGGTCAGCTCAGCAAGCGCAATTTTTTTAGAGGTTTTTTGCCTTAGGGACACTCGCCTGAGAGAGGGAAAGACAGAGACAGTGAGAGGGAAAGGGAGAAATCACCCCCAGGGGGATGACCACGTCGCAACCCTTCTCTGTTCTCCTCCTGGGATCTTGGGCAAACAAGCACACACAGCTGGTGTGATTCTCAAGCTACCAGGTCCAGGACTTAAACCATGGTCAGTCATGTGGGAGTCCAGCAATGGAACCACTACACCATCTGATGGCCCCAACAATTGTTAAGACAGTATTTTCCTTCAGTGTGAGACCTGAACAAAAATTTTGAAACATAAGAAAATCAACCTCAGGGCCAGCAGGTGGCACAGTGCTTAAGATGCTGGACTCCCACATGGCCCACCATGGTTCGCACTCAGACCCAGCGGCTTGAAAATCACGCCAAGCACGCATGCATGCATACCTCAAATGCTCAGAGAGGACGGAGGAGTAGGGACTGCAGTGTGGCCATCCTCCTTTGGGGGTGATTTCTCACTTTTTCCCTCTCTCTTTCTCCAGCAAGTACATATGCCCTATAGCAAAAACCTTAAAAACAAACAAAGCAACTCCAAAAAACTTCTTCGATTAGAAGTTCACAGTATTACTATGATGAGCAAACCAGTAAGATGAACACGTCAACAAAATGAAAATATCTGAGACGACCTG